CTCGATGGCTTTTTCCAGGAGTCTAAAGAGACAACATTCGGCACTCTGAATAGGATTTCTTCTTCCTCGGTCCTCGTGTCATGTTAATAGTTTATTCGAGACAGCTATTCGCTTCAACTGCGTCTGACACAGTGGCTATTGTCTTCAATTTCTGCCTGATGTTGGCATATTAGTTCGAGCGAGCTGACTACTATATCCTTGCAGGTCTTAGAAAACAGCTGGGCAATAAACTGATAAACAAGGCTTCAGCTTTTTGGAACTAAATATTTGAAAATTTCCATTTGAAATTTTCTAATTGTAGAATCGTATTCCTTGGTGATTTTAATAATTTTGATGTTCGAACCTAACCCGTAGTCTTAGTTTGAAGCAAGTCGTTTCTGCTCCTACAAGGGGGTCATCCACCCTTGATCTCATCGTCACCGATTTACAAGATTTTTATGACAAGCCGCATATTCTTGCTCCGCTAGGGTCTGCTGACCATAATATAGTACGATGGGTTCCTAATAAAGTTGATGCTATTACCAAACCTAAACCGATTAAGCGTCTTATACGCCGCTATCCGCTATCCGCCTTGAATTCTTTCGGCCGATGGGCCAGCACGCATCAATGGTTCAGTAATCTGGGTCCAAGCCCTTCCGTAGATGACCTAGCTAATTCCTTCTCATCCCAAGTATCTACAGCATTTGACAGTCTTATTCCCCTGAAATTTGTTAGGTTTTGCCATTCCGATAAACCATGGATGTCTGTGTCTATCAAAAAACTCATTAATGACCGTCAAAGAGCTTTCCATGGTGGAGATGTTCTGCAGTGGAGAACTTTGAAATATAAGGTCCAGACCGAAATAGCCGTAAGAAAGAAAGAATATTACAAAACTTAAGTACAACATCTTAAGAAAGACGATTGGCGAAAGTGGTGGCAAGTCGTTAATAAGTTGTTTGGCCGATCTCAGAAGTGTACTAAACTTACCTTTGAAAAGGAAGGTGAATTATTATCAGATTTAGAACTGGCCAATAACTTGAACAAGTTTTACATCTCGGTTAACGCAGACATTCCACCACTAGATATAACCACGTTACCAGCATACTTACCTGCTGTTGATCAAGTGCCTTACATCGAACCGCACGAAGTCTGTGAGAAATTATTGGTCGTTAATGCCTCCAAAACATGTGGTCCTGATAATATTCCAGGTCGCCTTTTGAAGGAATTTGCGCACCTTTTTGCTGAACCAGTTGCGAAAATCTTCAATATGTCACTTGCATCCGGGATTGTTCCAAATATATGGAAAGACTCACATATTACTCCCATTCCAAAAGTTAAACAACCAACTGACGAGGGTGACACAAGACCCATTTCACTAACGCCATGCCTTTCTAAAGTTCTCGAAGATTTTGTCGTTAGATGGATGATCTCTGACGTTAGGAATAATATTGACGCACAACAGTTCGGTTCTTTAAAGGGTTCATCCACGACCTATTGCTTGCTCGACATGTTGCATTGTTGGCTTTCTCATTTGGATTCAACTGGTCATTTTCTTCGCATATGCTTTTTGGATTTTTCAAAGGCCTTCGACCGTATTGGCCATAACATTCTTATCCAAAACTTGTTGATATTGGCGTTAGGCGATCGTTAATACCATGGATCGTAAACTTTCTATCAGGGCGAAGACAGCGGGTCAAACTTGCGGAAGCTGTTTCTTGTTGGCTTCCTGTCACAGCCGGTGTCCCCCAAGGTACGAAGTTGGGTCCGATCCTGTTCTTAATTATGGTCAATGATTTACAATGCGGTTCGGGGAGGTCTAGCAATTGGAAATTCGTTGATGATGTTACTATCTCTGAGGGATTATTAAGGAATGGGGAACCGTCTGTAATCCAGTCTGATTTAACTTCTATAGCTACATGGGCATCTAATAACCTGATGAAATTGAACGCAAAGAAATGCAAAGAGATGCAAATTTGTTTCTTTCGGAACAAACCTGAACTACCACACTTGTGTGTTGAAGACCAGATCTTAGAATGTGTATCGTCGCACAAGGTTCTTGGATTGATTATCCAGGATGACCTTAAGTGGAACGAACATATTTCGATGATTGTTACCAAAGCATCCAAGCGACTGCATATCCTACGTGTCCTACGACGGGGAGGGATTCCACCGCACGACCTTATCACAATTTATTATGCATTGATTAGATCTACATTAGAATATTGTTGTACAGTATGGCATTGTGGTCTACCTATGTATCTGTCTGAACAAGTCGAGAAAATTCAAAAACGTGCACTGAGGATTATACTGCCAGGTCGATCCTACGGTGAAGCGCAAGAAATGTTGCAGTGTCCTAGGCTGGATATACGTCGAGGTGAACTTTGCGAAAAGACGATGAAAAATATTGCATTGGGCAGTCGTCTTTCTTCCCATCTAACTCTCACCAGTGAAAACGAACATGTGTATAATTTAAGGAATTTTAAACAATTCGCTTCTTTTAAATGTAGAACTGATAGATTTGGTAATAGTTTTTTCCCTAGCATGATTAGTGTTTTAAACAAATAATTGTTCTTAGTTATAAGTTCTTATTTAATAATCTAATGATACATTGTAATATAGTTACTTTTAGTATTGTAATTCCCATTCAAATCAATTGTAAAACACATTGTAATTCATTTTCATGCGATGATGTGTTATTAAAATACCATTATTATTATTATTATAACATCCACATATTTTCGTTCTACGGCGACTATCACGGCGAGATATTTAGACACGCTTTCTACTATGACTATGTAGAAGTTTTTCACCCCTACTTGTTGAAGAAACAAATACCAACGACAACGAAACCGATGCAGACAATGAAAACAACAAGCGACAACAGAGAGATTCTGCTACCCAAACGGTGAAAAAAGATCACAACAGCCACAAAAAGCCAAAAGACAAGCCCGCATATGAGCAAAGAGCAGGCTCGGAGACAGGCCATCGTCTTAATGTGGCCATTATTGGAGATTCCATGGTGAAACATCTAAACCCCTCCAAGTTGCGTAAAGGCACAAAGCATAATATCAACGTGCAAACCTTCAGTGGAGCCAATGTTGCTGATATGCGTTATTATGTGAAACCAGCAATATCAAGATCCCCTGACTATCTGCTCCTACATGTTGGAACTAATGACTTAAAGCGACAAACCCCTCAACAAATAGCTGGGTCAATTTCTACGCTTTGCCAGGAAATCGTAAAGGAATCACCAAATACTAAGATTGTATTATCGAAAGTTATAACCAGATCTGATGACTCAAGCCTAGATTCCAAAATCAAAGAACTAAATTGCAAACTATCACAGGTATGCCATAATAATAAATGGGGTGTATTAAATCATACCAATATTACAGCAGATCACTTGAATCCTTATGGTCTCCACTTAAATAAGCAAGGTACAGCCAAGTTGGCCAAGAATATTATAGATCATTTCAAAAACTTAAATTGACAAACGAACAATCAAAATAATATTACTCCCTCAGATGATAGTAATATACAGAGGTTTAATTCCATTGAAAACGATAATGCCAATAATGCTAATAGCCCTCTGGGTAATGATGTAAATAGACAACAATCACACGCTAGCGGCTCTCTTTTTCCTAAACTCAAAGGTTTTAAAGTATGTCATCTAAATATAGCAAGTTTGATAAAACACTATGATGAGCTTTTGCTATATATGCAAAACAAACTTTTTGACATTATAACGCTTAACGAAACTAGATTAGATAGTAGCGTACTAAACGGTGGAATTGAAATTCCTGGTTATGATATTGTTAGGCGTGATTGAAACAGAAGTGGAGGAGGTGTTGCAATGTATATTAGAAGCAACATACCATACACCATTCGCAAAGACCTCTTCCCTGATAATTTAGAGTTGATTTGCGTAGAAATTAAAAAATTTAAAAGTAAACCTCAGTTAATTACAACATGGTACAGACCACCAAATTCCAGCGTTGAGCTGTTTAGCGAATTTGAAATTTTTTTAAAACTACTTGAGGACGAAAATAAAGAAATTATCATAACCGGAGATCTCAATTGTAACATTCTTGAGCAGAACAAAAGTTTGCCTACTTCTAAACTAGTTGACCTGATTGACATTTATCAATTACAGCAACACATACAGTGTCCCACGAGAATTACTAGTACAACAGCATCACTACTGGATGTTATCCTCACTTATTATGGTGATGATAAAATATTAGATACAGGAGTAATACACCTTGGTATCAGTGATCATAGTCTTGTTTATCTGTGTCGAAAGCTCAGCATTCCTAAGGCGCCACCAAAAACTGTCTTTACTAGACATTATAAAAATTATAATGTTAACCAGTTTAACAACGATCTAAGTGAGGTTTTTAGTTTGCCCTTGGATTCAGCTATTTTAACTGACCCAAATGCCTTATGGAACGATTTTAAAAATAAGTTTTTGAGCGTCGCAGATAAACATGCACCAATCAGACAACGTCGTGTCAAGAGTGAATATAAACCGTGGCTGACAAATGAAATTAAGCAAATGAGCTATCGTAGGGATTACCTTAAAAAGCAATCGATTAAATTAAGATCTGCGTATTATGATAAGGCTTACAAGAGATGTAAAAACAAGTTAAATAATCTCATAAAAGAAACTAAACAAGAATACTTTAGAGATAAACTAAGCAATGCTAAAAATAGCAAAGAAAGTTGGCGAACTATTAACGAATTATTAAACAAAAAGCCTAAAACTTCAGAGGTTAAAGAACTAGATATAAATGGCCAACTTATTACTGACGATGATAAAATTGCAGATGCCTTCAATCAATATTTTTCCACAATTGGCAGTACGTTGTCTGACAAGGTCACAGGTAACTGCACTGATCCAATGAACTTTGTGACTCCACTTGATGGTAGTATATTCAACTTTACAAGCATTACACTCCAAGAAACAATAGATGCACTCAATGAAATTAAAACTAAGAGATCTCCAGGGCTTGATGGTATAGTATAAGGTTACTAAAAGATGCATCTAACATTGTGGCAGGACCACTAGTGAACATATTCAATGTATCCCTTTAAAGAGCAATTTTCCCTAATGATTGGAAATTAGCAAAGGTGACCCCCATATTTAAAGAAGGAAATAAGGCAGACTGTGAAAATTATAGGCCAATATCTGTTATTTCAGCTGTAGCTAAACTTTTCGAAAAACTGGTATACCTGCAGCTAAGGTTCATTCTTGAGGTTGAATGGCATTCTTGTGGAACAGCAGTCTGGCTTCCGTCATCAACATTCTACTGAAACTGCACTGCTTAGTTCTACAAATGAATGGTTGTTCAATATGGACAGAGGTTTACTTAGCGGAGTTTTATTTCTAGACCTTAAAAAAGCTTTTGATACTGTCGACCATCATATTCTTTTATCAAAGCTTGAATTATATGGTATTAAAGGAACTAGCCTGAAATGGTTCGAATCATACGTTTCTGGTCGAAGTCAAATATGCTCTGTGAATAGCAAGATGTCAGCTGTTAGACAAATAAAATGCGGGATACCTCAGGGCTCTAACCTTGGGCCTATTTTATTCCTATTGTACATAAATGATCTTCCTAACTGTTTAGAGACAACTAAAGCAAATCTTTTTGCTGATGACACAAGCCTTTCTTGTGAAGGGTTTAGTCCATATGAAATTGAGATCAAACTTAATAAAGACATTGAAAATGTTCATAGGTGGTTGACAGCTAACAAGCTCTCATTAAATATGAAAAAGAGTGAATTTATGATAATAGGATCAAGACGTCGCTTAGCTTCAATTGAAAATAGCCCAGTACTAACATTAGGGGGAAACAACATTAAGCGAGTTTACCAAAAAAAGTCACTAGGCATGATCCTTGACGACCAGCTAAAATGGAATAAACATAATGAAATGCAATGTAAAACAATTTCAAATAATATCGCCCTGCTGAAAAGAGCAAAATTGTTTGTCAATAGAGATAGTCTGATAAAAATCTACAATGCCTTAGTGTGGCCTCATTTCAATTATTGTTCAACAATCTGGAATGATGGATGTTGTTCGATAATTGATAAATTGTTTATACTGCAGAAGAGAGCAGCGCGTGTGATAACAGGGGACACATACGAGGTTCGTTCCATGCAAACGCTAGATAGTCTTAATTGGCTTCCAATAGAAGAACTTCTAAAACAACGGCAGTTAATAATGACATTTAAAGTACTAACTGGTCGATTACCTCGATACCTTGAAAAATTGTTTTCAGTAAGTCAAAATGACAATTACAATCTAAGAAGCAATCAAATTAAATTGAACCTACCCAAACCTAAGACAAATTTTCTCAAACGAAGTTTCTCGTATAGAGCTGCTAAGTCCTGGAACGAACTTCCAAGTGAAACTATTGAAAATTATAACAATCTTTCAATTTTGTCGTTTAAACGGCAATTACTTAATTCATCCGTATCAATTCATTGTAAATAGTTATATTTTTTTTGTCCTTTTTATATTATTGTTGTAAACACACGGCCCTTTGAAAACCAGCGCTGTAAATATTATCTGCTGGACAGGCTACCGTGTTTAAATAATTTTATTAAAGATTAAAGATTAAAGATGTAGTTTTAGTTTTATATCGAGTAAAATGTTCGTACTTATTTTGTCATTTTTAGGCTTAATTAATTGAAAATAAATTTCAGAAATAAAGCACTTTTAACAGTATATTGACAAAATTACAAATTCTATTTTTGGTGTTTACATACGCCGGTCATATATTTCCGGTTTGAAGCACATGATGCGTTTTGTCGTCTCTTAGCCAATCAGCATAACATCCAGATTCTGGATGTTGAACATGGCTTTAATAGAGGCGAATTGTGTCCAGAGCTTCCACTCGGAAGGAAATTTCCTTCCAAAAGGATATTTTGGCATTTGGAAGGAAAAATAAAAGGAAATAAGACTTGGAAGGAAATTGGAAGGAAATTCGGCCATTTGGAAGGAAAAGGGAAGGAAATTTTACCATTTAAACTTTTTCAGTAATTTCTAGTAATTTAATAATGGTTAAACACTTTATTATGAACTTTTGAGTTCAAAAACATTTATAAAAAGTTAAAAACAATACTTTGGATATTTACATAACCATCAAGGATGAATGGGGGTAATTTGGGACTTAACAGGTCTTCAGTGAGTGAGTAGAGTACTTGTACATAAATAACGGGGGCTCAATTTTTTCACGAGTTTTAAATTTTTATTAGTGATGGGCGTTACCACCAGTATCGATTCGATACGATACCGATTACTTTTTCGTAAAAGTATCGAGGTATCGATTACCCAAACGATTACTACGACGACGATTTTATTTCAGAATTTTCCGCCATTATGAGTTATTTCCCGCCTTTTTCCTAATTTATTCCGTCGACCAGGTCCGGAATATTAATCAGGGAAGTGGATAGAATGTCAAATAAAGTAAAGGAAAGTTTGATTAAATTTGTAAATGCAGCAAAATTGAAAAAGTACATAAATTTTATTAGAAATAGCCATGAAAACGATGACACACTACAGAATTACAATGAATCTCTAATTTTAAAAGTAATCAAAACACGTTTTCGATACCGTGCAGTATCGACTACTTCCGATTTGGGCCTGGTATCGGGTGGTATCGATACCAAGTAATCGGTAATCGCCCATCACTAATTTTTATAACCCAAAAAACAAACAGTTGAGAAAAGGGAAACTGTAATTTCTAAACCAAAAAAGTAATTTATAAATTATGATGCCGGCTCATATTTAGTCATGAACATCTAGTCATCAAAAGATGAAGCTTCAAGTAGTTTTCAAATGCAAACGGAGTACAAAGCGTGCAGGACAAGTGCGTGGTCCAAAAGCAAATTCATAAAAAAGTCGTTTAAGTACTATGTCGTTCGAGAAAACAGACAAAAAATGAGACAATAGAACATTTTTTTCAGGTTAAATTAGAGATTCACTATTTGAATACTGCAGTACACCTTCAATTTACATCGGAATAAAGTACAATACAAAATTTACTATACTATTTTAAACTGAGATTGGAAGGAAAAGTAGAAGGAAATTTAGGATTTTGGGAAGGAAATTTTGCGAAAAAAAAGGACAAAAACGAGAATTTTTGCTTTGCCAAAGTGGAAGCACTGTTGTGTCAGGCCCTCTTTCAATACCGAGGGCCTGATCACGGGCAATAGGACAGGTGTAGTGTTGTTAAATAGAAAGTTAGAAATGGTATTGTACTTACTCATGTATTATAATTATGTTTAAAAGATCAGAATATTCATAACTTCTTATTTTGTTTCATAAATAGTTCTTTAATATTCGAAACAAATTCCATATCTGCTTCGTCTGCCATCGCCATGTTTACTCGTCCCAATCTACATGCTGCACGGCATTGCCGCCCCTCCTGGCAAAATAATAAGCAAGCGAGAAAAATTAGAAGAAAATAAGAGGGTAGGAACATTGTGGGCGTTTCGTGGGCGTGTCATCGTTCTGGGCGAATCAGCTTTCTCAATCTTGTATCACATGACTAATTCAAATCGTCATAGGCGGGAAGCAGCATTACACGTCATCCCTACGTCAAATAAAACGTTATAAAACGCGTCGTGGATACGTTTGTGCCATATATGGAAGTTATGGATACGTTTGTGCCATATATGGAAGTGTCACTGCATCCAGCTTATGACAACGATGTTCCTACCCTCTTATTTTCTTCTAATTTTTCTCGCTTGCTTATTATTTTGCCAGGAGGGGCGGCAATGCCGTGCAGCATGTAGATTGGGACGAGTAAACATGGCGATGGCAGACGAAGCAGATATGGAATTTGTTTCGAATATTAAAGAACTATTTATGAAACAAAATAAGAAGTTATGAATATTCTGATCTTTTAAACATAATTATAATACATGAGTAAGTACAATACCATTTCTAACTTTCTATTTAACAACACTACACCTGTCCTATTGCCCGTGGCCTGATACTCAGGTTAACATTATTTGAAATTTGATATTCAAAATAAAAACTCCTTCGATCGGATACCGTATAAAACTCGAGATGTTGTCGAAGAAAAGAAAACTAAACGACGGAGATTGAAGAAATTTAAGGAAGAATAAATATACAGCGGCTCTTTGTTGGAAAGCATGGTGGAATATGATACTTTAATTCGAAATATTGTCGTTAATATATTAGTGGCATCCTCCCCCCTGTAAATCCAACGGTAATTTAAGGAGGCCTGGTTGTGCAGACGTTCGCCGTAGTAATTTTCGGTCCGGGTAAGTTCAATATAAAATGGGTTTTGATTTCCATTGTTAAAATATGGTCCAAAACTTGTACATCTCGCCGAAATACCTCTGTATTTTCGAAGAACGGCATTTGTTGTACATGCTGGCGAATTTTTTTTGAGAATAAAGCGATTTGAGTGTGAGAATTTTCGATTCGAAGTGCCGTGCCGTCGTATCGACGATCGGGAATCGTTAGCCTTTATCATGTTTCATGTATACTAGTAACATCGAGTACAAAGTCTCGGAAAATATTAGTCCAACAAAGGAGGAATAAAAGGAGAACACACACTATCAAATAGGCAAGTCAATTTCATTTTAAAATTTATATTTTACAACATATTTTTACTATAATATACATTAATATAATATACATTTATACTATAAGTCTATACTGAACCTTGCGAAATTGGGCCGCCTGTGATTAAAGTATCATATTCTACCATGCTTTCCAACAAAGAGCCGCTGTATATTTATTCTTCCTTAAATTTCTTCAATCTCCGTCGTTTAGTTTTCTTTTCTTCGACAACATCTCGAGTTTTATACGGTATCCGATCGAAGGAGTTTTTATTTTGAATATCAAATTTCAAATAATGCAAACAGTAGCTATCGCGGCCGCGATTGGTTGGCTGTTACCGGAAATATCTGCTCCCCCAGCCTAGACCTAGGCCTTCTATTTTTATTTATATTTTTTTAAGATTCAGCGCTTTTTCACATGAA